GAGAGAGAGAGAGAGAGAGAGAGAGAGAGAGAGAGAGAGAGAGAGAGAGAGAGAGAGATATGAGAGAACATATGGACTATGAATCGTTGTTATGAGTTTCTTGACCTAGCCTAGCAACTACTCATCAAATCTGAAATTGTGTTTAATAGAAAATAAATCCTTTCTAAACATAAATTCTTCTATCCACACACACACACACAAAAAAAAAAACCAAAAAAAACACTAACCAACCAATTGACAAATACAACCTCAAAACTGCATCATAGTTCTTAATTGTGATGTCAAAGCAATAGAATATTGAAATGGTTTGTCCTAGGGATGATGAGTTAGTTATGTGTGCTAATTATCAGCATTCTGGATTTGGTTCCATGTGTCATTCATGAAACAAAGGATGATTCCTCAGGGCTTGGAACAAAGGGCATCCATTCTCTAGATGTGAGCTGCTATGTTTAGTAGGCAGGGAGAAAGCTTCTGGTGTGTTGTTAGATTTCTGTAGAACATCTCTTCTCTTCCAGCTCATTGCTATGTTTGCTCAGCTGACTGAGTCCTTTGGTTAAGACATTCAGTCATCAAGTAGTCACAAATCATCACAGGATACCAGCAAATATGATAAAATGTTCCATTTTTACTTTTCCTTCATACTGTACATGGAACCAGGGAATTTATCCATTCTCTTTTCACAGATACAGGGGTGTTTTCTACCACAGTCATCTTCATGTATACCTCCAAAACTGAGAAATGCACAGTCTCCACTTTCCTTTAATAATTTCACCGTTTTCAAATTACTGTAAACAAAATATATAATAGGCAGTTATTAAAATTTGAAACATATTGATGTGATGAAGGCCATGATTTTAAAAACAATTTTTATTGACCAAAATATACTGAATATAAAATTAGTTGTGTTTTACTAAAGGATTTTTTGTTTTCTCTAAACTCATTTAAAAAAAGGTCTTGGGCCAGTGACACAGATCAGTGGACAGAAGCCATTGCCACCAAACCTGACAACCTGAGTTCAGACTTCGGATACACAGAGTAGAAGAAGAAAAGTGACTCCTTCAACAACCCTCTAACTACAGATGTGCTGTGACATGGGAACACACATGCATACATTCACACAAAAATAAATAAGTGTAATAAAAATGAAAAATTAAAATAAAAATATTCTCTTGATCACAATTCAATTCCGTATCTATTCCATATTGTTAATTTTCCACCTTCAAGTAAATTTAATTTTCAGTATCGCCAAAAGATCATTTTATACTAAGGTTTATTTTCTATGATGCTTTTTGGAATAAAGACATTTTAAAAACAAGAAAAAATAAATGTAGGTGGCACACAGGACAGGGTCTCATGGCTTGGGCAACACAGTGAGATTTAAACAGGATAGGCTGTTGAGAATCTGTATAAAAGGAGATAAAATAGGGAATGAAGTCCACCAAACTCCATTTGATGTCAAAGGGATAAAGCTTCAACAAAAGATCATTATTTGTTGAGCCCTAGATTCAAGCCAGGTAGAAATAGTGTGTTTACCATAGGAACAGCAAGAGAAGATAAATGAAACTAATTGGCCTTTGGGGTATAGACAGAACTAATAAGGTACAGTAGGAATGAGTATACACATTAGAGAGCCATGAGACGTGATTATGGGTACAATCAATAAAGCATATGTGTTGAACATGAGCAAAGAGGAAAAGACCCAATAGACACTTAACTATTCACAAGATCCTCATGGAGTACACATTCTGCATCATGAGCTCTTTACCTCCATGGTGATGTCTATTTGGAGCTCTACACAAGACAAGCTAATCTCACAAGTTGCTCACTAGGTCCATTAGAACCTGACATTGAAAGAGATGTCCAAGCTACTGCCTCTTCCCACTAGAGAAAATGCTTCTGGTGGTGAAAGAAATCTTCTCAACACCAGGTTTTTATACTGAATCCTCAGTTCCGGCCCTAGTAATCATACCATCATCAGGGGGCAGTTCTGTAGCACAGTCAAGGTCTACAAAGATATTTTAACCTGGCTGCAGGCATCCTCTCAGCCACTGGCACCTCACTCCAAATGCTACCACTTGCCCATCTCTGACTCTGTATGGTGCTGTAGGCTGTAAATAAATTCATTAACTCTGTGGTCAGTCATGGTGGAAAACATCACCCATCCTGGTGCTTTGGAGGTAGATGCAGAAGTGGGGCTAGCGTGTATGAAATGATATTTCAAGTAGAAAAAACAAAACTAATATACCAACAATAATAATCCATGTGCTTTGAATATATCAAACCATCTTGTAAAGATGTCGGTCCTCTGGCCACCTCTGTGACAACCTGCTTGAGAGTGTCTTTAGATGAGAGAGAGGAAATTATTTTCCTGCAGATTTGGAACCTAGCTATCCACACTGGCTGGACCACATTCAAACAGAAGTGACCAGACCTACCATGTTCCCAGGCACTGAATGAAAGATTCCTGAACCACTGTGAATACCATGCTTCAGACAGTTTCTGTAGCCACTGAAGAATAAATTTAATAAATGCCTCAAAGAAAACCACATCAAAAAAAATATCCAGCAGAAACAGTACATTCAGTTGCATAAAACTTCAGACATTAGGATTACCATCTAACAGTTGTAAAATAAGAATAGTTGATATCTTTCAAGAGACAAAGAACAGGACAGACACAGTCACACCTGCCAGTAGTCCCAGCACCTGCAAGTTGGACACACAAGGATCAGGTGTTTGAAGTCAGCCTGGGACACATGAATCGCTATCTATAAACAACAAAATAAAAATTAAGATGATATTTAAATGATATAAAAGGTAATTAAAATTATAATTAACTTTTCCATTTCTGGTGAGAGTGAAAAATTATGCAGCCACTTTGGAAAGTGACATGATTGTTTCTCAGAAAATGGTAATCAACCTACCTCAAGACCAGCTATGCAACTCTTGGGCATATATCCAAAGGATGCTCCATCCTACCACAAGGACATTTGTTCAACTGTGTTCATAGCGGCACTATTTATAATAGACACTGTTATAAATTATTGCATCTGGGAGACCCCCAAGAGTATCCCAAGAGTACAGGGAAACATACTGGGCAGATGCAGTGGTGGACTGGGCAGATGAATCCCATGAGGGCATGGTGGATGTGGCAGTGGTGCTGGCAAATAATTCACATCCCAGACACTGCATCCATGTGGAGAGTTTATTATAATAAAGAGATGAAGAGAAAGATAGGAGAGAGAGAGAATAAAAGAGAGAAGAAAAAGAAGAAGAAGGGGAAGGGAAAGGAGGAGGAGGAGAAGGAGAAGGAGAAGGAGAAGGAGAAAAGAAGAAGAAGAAGAAGAAGAAGAAGAAGAAGAAGAAGAAGAAGAAGAAGAAGAAGAAGAAGAAGAA